TGTTTACAGTTTGGCTATTTTGGCCCTAAAGCGACAGAACAATTACAGCTTGTTTGTTTTTTTTTCATGTGAGTAGAATCATTCCCTTCAGGCTTTTTGCTGTAAACACAGTCTTTACAGAGAAAAGGCATTGTTTACATTACAGCCTAGTAATGGCCACTCCTCAGATGGTTGCTAGAGGTGCTTCCTGGGACAGTGCTGCACACTGTGCCACACTGCCAATCAGTGTCTCCACCCTCTGTATGGATACACTGAACTTTCCTAATAGCGATGCATTGATTCAATACATCTCTATGGGTAGATGCTGATTGACCAGGGCTGTGTCTGACTTGTGCTGGCTCTGCCCCTGATCTGCCTCATTGACATTCTCAGTAAATTCTAATGGAAAGCATTGTGCTTGGCTCAGACCAACACTTCTGATGATGTCAGCCTTCAGCAGGCACACCAGGGGCAGATGCAGCAGCTGCAGGCTTGAATAAAAGTAAGATATTACTTTATTTAGGGAGACAAGAGAAGGACGGGGGTTGGAGGGGGGAGAAGGGGCAAAATGGTGGGTCAGGAATACATGTTTGTGTTCCTGACCCTATAGTGTTCATTTAAAGTGTTTTCAAATAAAACTCTGGTTTAGGTCAGAGTAATCCTTTCTGAGGTGGTCTGCAGCCCCCAAAATAAAAATAAAATAAACTCTAAAACTCACCTCTGTTCTATCACAAAATCCAAGCTTTTCCCTCACTGGAAGGGGAAGGAGGTCAAGGAGGATGGAGAGTAGGACAGGGGTGCCAAGGAGGAGCCGACTCGGCGATGGAAAAGAGGCCAGTTTTAGCATTTCTTTTCTTTTTTTGTGCTGTATCAGTTGTCAATTTTGCACAGAATTCACATTAGCCAGCCTAGAACACTGATTAATGATGTTTCAAAAGGTGAAGTTACACTTCAGGCAGCTAAGTGGTTATTCTCTGTATGTGCAAAATTTCAAAGTGAAACACTGCACACAGAGAAAATGCAGTGTCAAAACTAAACAATTAAAGTGATAGTGCCTTGATGTATATAGTCACAATGCATATCATATATCTGCACTATACTATATTAAATTTATCTGACATCTATATGACAAATTTATATGACATTACTCCTCTTCAAATTTATACTTTTCTGTGGTAACCTCCAAAGTTGCATCTGAACCCAACCCGGCCATGCCCGCCCTGCCCCACCCTGCCCCCAAGATTACAATATTTTGCTTTATCCAAAAAGTGATATTTTAACACGCACCATGAATAATAGTGCATGTAGTGCAAAAGAAACACACACATACATTTTTTAAACTTTCAGTGCCTTTTCCTCCTCAGAGGACAGGCATGTAAGAAACATCTGGTATGGTGGCAGAAGGTACCTGCTGTTGATATAAACCTCTTTCCTGGCAGAGAGAAGGTTTGGTGGGAGAGCTGCTGTAACTCTATATCCATAATAACTCATCTAGAATGAGTGGCACGAGACACCTAGTGCTCTTAATTTTTTTGTACTTTATTAATTCTCGTGTTAAAAAAAAAAATTAAATGTTTCTTAATAAATTCTACTGAAATCTATAATATAAATTTAACAATGCACTCTTCTGATATATGTTTCCTGGTGTGTGCTTCCTTTTAAAGGGTGAAGCTAAGAAAGATGGTTGCATCAATCTCTCTAACAGTTCTTCTAAGAAAAAAAAAGTGCGTACAGTCCATCAGAGATGAGCTAGTTGAAATTTTAATGTCAGTGCACATTTCAAAGAACATTTTTGTTTTGATGTTTTAAGAGATTGTATTAATTTTTGTTCAAGTGGTCTAAGCAAGGATTGAACAGTCTATGATTGGCATATCTAGAAAAAAGTGCATAAAAATATTAATTATATAAAGCATACTATTTGAATACTCATTTCCAAAAGTGTACAAATATCCGTCCTAAATTCTGATGATATGCCAATTATATTGTATGGCTGTATGTTTCGGATTGTTTCCACAGCACAGAGAAGGGAATTGAAGTCCAGTGACAGCTGGGAAGGGGAGGGGGTGGGTGGGCTTCACAGTTGAGAGTCACATTATTCTAAATTAGAAAAAAAAACTAGATTATTGCCTATATAATTTATTTTCACCTTCTATGTATCTACACTATAATAACAATTGAACTTGTAGAATAGCGACCCTTTCTTTTATAATGTGGACAGTAATAAATGTGACCAAACATTCTATGCAATGATAAAAAAAAATAATTAATAAATACAGTCATTATGTGCATATAATATTTCTACCAGCCTCATTTAGTCAAATGGAGCAGGGTACTATATGTCAGAAATGGATGGGAATCATCACAGATAAGGTCACAGTTTGGGGACAAGTAAAAAAATAAAAATGAGGACTACAACTAGAATGAAGAAACAGACGTCTATATTGGTGGGTAAGAGTGGAACAGAATACTTAGTAGAATAGAGAGAGACAGCATAGAGAGGTGCAGAGGGGTAGTAGAGAACTTACTATATGGCTACTAAGGAATAGTGGGTAGTTTTATTATATTGTTGGAAGATCTGTGCAGTACATGGGTACATCGGTATTTTCCATATGACAATAATGGAGGATATTTTGTGGATACTTAGTCGATACAGAAATTAGAAGCTTATAAGAGATCTAATAGGAATGTCAAAGACATTTACTTCTTATTGAATTCACATTGTAATTAATTAACATATATTCAATTATATAATTTCTCATTCATCTCTCTTTAGCAGTCAAGACTGCTTCTCAGCAAGGGGCAGAGAAGCAGTCTGGACTGTTTGCAATGTTGGTTACCTTGATGACATACACCTCCCTGTTCTTAGTCCTCCATCCTCCCACATGCGTACAGGTTAATGCTGATGAATTCATATTTTTTCATATAATCCAATTTACGTACTTGTGCTAAACTGATGTACTGCACATGCTACATATGCTGCAAGTACATAGACGAGAGGCCCCATGTATTAAGATAGGTGTCCACAGCAGATACATTGTAAATATGTTACTATAAAGAGTTTAATAACTGCAAATCCATTATAGAATTTTTTTTATATTTTATTGATTAATGTTAAGTTTGATTGTTCCATTTGAGTTGTCATGTTCACTTACACTAATGATCATCAGATGAGCACGTAGTGTATCCCTTCCTCTCAAATGTCTTGCCATTGCAGTTCTTCCAATGCTTAAAAGATACAGTGATCTTTACCAAGCAGTTGTTCAAAGGTTTTGTAAAAACAATAAACATTTTATTTCAAAAGCTTACAATGCATTTAATTTATGGATATTGTTTTTGTAAAACGATATACTTGACACAAGAATTAATAATGCACATTCTTAGACATAACCACCTTCAACCTCTCTGCACACCTCTCATAAAAGATTAATGAAAATACCTGTATTCAGTAATTAATGACAGTAATTTTCTCAACATGTGTGACTTAACGATTATTGGTAGCAAATTAACAGGAATTCTTCCGCCTCCGCACCACTGCCATCTGCAGTTGTGACTTCGTCACCTCACAATATTCAAACAATTTAACTTCGTGGTGGAACTAAGGCGGTGGTAAAATTAGTGGCGGGCATTGTAAAATGAGGTCATCCATATGCAAATTATCTAGTTATGT